TGCTATTGCTATTGCTATTGCTATTGCTATTGCTATTGCTATTGCTATTGCTATTGCTATTGCTATTGCTATTGCTATTGCTATTGCTATTGCTACTGCTACTGCTATTGCTATTGCTATTGCTATTGCTATTGCTATTGCTACTGCTACTGCTATTGCTACTGCTATTGCTATTGCTATTGCTATTGCTACTGCTACTGCTGTTATTACTGTTACTCTTACTCTAGCCGTTGCTCTTTCCTCTTTCTACTGTTGCTAATAGTTTCGGATTATCTGTAGGATTATCCGCTCGTTAAAGTTACCTGCTAAAATACATCCCCTCGAGAGATAACATCGTCAACTTGAAATCTATTATCTCTAATCTGTCTATTTTTCTTTCTTCCTTTGTTTCTTTTTTTTATTTTCAGCACCCTATTCTACCCTATATCGTTTTCTATCTTCGACAGGTCTAGCTACATCAAAGGCACTCAGGTAAACCAACAGCTCGACCCAAATGGAAAGGAAAATGTGGATAGGGAAGAGGCACTTTCGAGAAGAGGACCTCCCACGCGCTCCGACAAAATGCCTTTCCTCTGACCCCTTCAATTCGAATTCTTTTATCTCTCTTTTTTTCGTTTTCTCTTTCTCTTTAGACGTAACTCATTCTTTCTCATTTTTAGAATATGCAATATGAGATGAATTAAATTTCGCGCTTACGACCGAGATTGATTATCATTTCTATATGGAAGAGAAAAATATACACGGTCATGGCCCGAAGATCATCAATACACAGAGTGAAGAGAATCAACAGGAATAATAGCAACAGCAATAGCAACAGATACGGCAGTAACAGTAGTAGCAGCAAGAGCACGTCATCATCCAAAGTAATCGAGCCGTGAGATACTAAACGAAGAAGATGACGACGAAGAGGATGACGATGATAAGAGGAAGGAAGTGGGTCGAAGTTAATTCTTAGACAGAGGATCCAAATGAGAAAGATGTTCATAAAAATGAGATAATTAGATAGATAGATATTACAGATAAATAGATAGATAAGTAGAGGAAGATAGAAATAAGGAAAGAGTGAGAGAGAGGAGAGAGAGAGAGAGAGAAAGGATTCTTCCTACCGTCCGCCATCCTCCCGTTATATTATCCTCTTCCACTCTAACTCTTAAACGCGTTAAAAATCATTCGCTCACCAAACTCTCCTCAATCGTAAGTCCGTAGTACGGGCAGCCACGACATCTCAACGAGTCCCGTACACCGCAAACTTGTAAGCTCACTCTCTCGCACTTTCGTAGGTACACTCAAGTATACCGACACTGTTAAACTTATTTCTTTCTTTCTCTGTCCACGCGAATCTCCCACGGGCCGAATGTAAAAAGCGCGAAAAGGCACTTTCGAACGAGCGAAATGGAACTCGGTATGGTGGTGTGTAGTTTATTCCTCTTCTTTCAATTCTTTTTCTTCTTCTTTTCTTACTTTTATTTTTATTCTTCTTCTTCTCTTTCTTCTTCTTCTTCTTGTTTTCTTCTTGTCTCTTCTTTTTTATTCGAGAATCTCCAAGAGAGTCTTAATTATTTATATTCCACTCCCTTTTCCACGGAGCAGCAGCATGCTACTACACAACTATCTGTTTCCAGCCGTCGTCTCTCTACAGGTATCTCTCTCTTTTTCTTCCTCCTCCTTCTTCTACTTCTCGACCTCCCCCTCCTCCTTCTCTTCTCCTCCTCCTCCTCTTTCTCCTATACCCACACCCACCGATACACACTGGCACGCACGTCGGTTATATACTCCTCGAGGAGTCGAGCGAGTAAACGCTCGAATCGTATATCGCGAGTCAAGAGTCGTAACGACAAACGAACCTGTCGTATCCGCGATTCCTACGTGTCTCTCTCTCTCTTTCTATTACTATTTCTATCTATATCTATCTATCTATATATCTATCTATCTATGTATCTATGTATCTATATATCTATCTATCTATCTATATATCTATCTATCTATCTATGTATCTATGTATCTATCTATCTATCTATCTATCTATCTATCTATCTATCTATCTATCGATCTATGTATCTATGTATCTATATATCTATCTATCTATCTATCTATCTAACGCGTTTTCACCTGCGTTCGTATAAATATAGATGCGCGCGTAAGTCGATCCGATAGCAGCCGAGTTTCACCGCGACGCATGTGACGACATTCGTAATATAACAGAAGAAAGACAAATAAATAAAAAGAGAGAGACATAGGAGAAAATAATAAAATAGATTAGAAAATAATACATTTAATTTATGTCATAAGAAAAATATATAATTATTGTAACTTTTTTTTTTGTAGAGAAGAAGAATGAAAAGGAAAAAAAATGATCGTGATCTTATTTTTATTTAAAAAAAAAAAAACTTTTTTCTCGAAAACGATATATAAACTTCTTTTTTCGATGACGGTACGTCGTAGCGATGCAATGTGTGAGAGAGCTCTGGCCCCCTCACATCAGGCCCCTTCGCCATCAGCTTCATCCTCCTTCCCCTTTCCTTCCCTTCTCACCTCTCTCTTTCTCTCTTTCTGTCCCTCTTCTACCCTTCCCATCCCTACACTTACTCCACTCGAGCTCCTTCCCCCACTCTTTTCATTCTTCCATGACAACCTCGGTTGTCGCCGGCCAACCTGCCGAGCAGTTCCGATCTCCCTTCCAAGTGACCCTCTCCACTCCTCTCTGTGGCCCCTCGCCGTCTCCGACAAGCTCCGATAGTTAGTTTTATCTTATTTCTTTTTAAACTATCTTTCATATCTCTCTCTTTTAATGTCTTTTCTTCTCGATTTCTCTTCATAATGGCTTTTTCTTCAAAATCTTTATCTATGGCATCCGCTCGGCGCACGTTTTACGAATGAATCATCGTTTCTTTAACTTCAAAATGTAACTTGGTGAATTTATGAGAAATTCCTTTTCTTCTTCTTCTTCTTTTCTTCTTTTCCTTCTTTAAAGAATTTGAACTAGGTATTCATTTATGTTTAAATTTCGTTTTCTTACATATAATGTTAGGTTATGGCTGTAATCATTTTTGTTTTCCTTTTTTTTTGTTTTTATATTTAATATTTTTATTTCCCTTTAATTGCTTACTTTTATAATATTTAAATGTCTCTTTTTGCAGGTATATAACCTTCAAATTAGGAAAAGATTTCAACCTGTTCATAGGTGGCGTTCGTCAGGATTTTCTCTATGTCTCTACACGGAGAAAGTTATAAGGTTATCTTTCTAGGTATTCTTTTCTTTTAAATGACTTATTAATACGAATTGGTTTCGAAATCATATAGTATAAGGTTGTAAATAACGATACTGTTGTTTTTTTATAATACGTATATACGTTTTTCTACGGATTGCGATAGTCAAAGTTTTGCAGTTTATTCGAAGAATAATCTTTCAGATTAAAAACGTGCTACGAAGAAGTAAAATGTGTATTTTTGTTGTTGTTAAAATATTTAATTTATTTTCATAGTATTTTAAATTCTTATTTGGGATGGATCGTTCTAAATTAATTAAAACATTTCCAAAAGATAAATCATAGTAGTGATCGTTATTAGTTTTATCATTAAACTTTAATATAATATTATCGTTTAAGATTGTTTAGTTAGACTAAAAATTTATTTATGAAAAGATTTATGAAAGATTTATTATTGAAATTGGAGAGGATTTATTTAATTGTGTCAATGCGATAACAGTCTTTCTATTAAAGTGAGTTAAAATTTTAATTTTTATTATAATTTTCTATTTCATGTTTCTTTTATTTTTTTTTATTTCATACGTAGCAGAAAGAAAATTTTCTGATGGTTAATATTGTCTAATTTATTTACAATCTTTATACTTTGTTACATGATTTTACAATGATCTTTTTAATTTTGCATAAGTATAATATTTGATTAAATATATACAGGATGTGTCTGAGGTTTAATAAACTATGTCAGCATATTTTATGCCCAAAAATAAGAAGAAAATATTATATTAACATAGATCATTTAAATCTTTAGACACTCTGTATATATAAGTATATTTAATTAATTGAGTGATAATAATAATAATACATACATACATATCCATGAATATAATACATATTTTATATCTAACATAAGAAACAGAATGCAATGTATTCAATGTAAAATTATCTACAAATGCATTCTATATATATATGAATATATGTATACTGGATATAATATAGAAGATTGAAACATTGAACATTTGATAAAAAGTTTAAAACCATTTAACCCTTTGCACTTCAGGGCTCCGCTTTGGAATCATTTTTATTTAAATACAAATAATTTTCAGTTTACAACATAATGACAAAAAAAATTCTAATAGCTTTACTTATTCTTCTAAGAAAATGCTAATTAAATCTTTCCAGGAAAATATTGTGTAAAGTAACTGATAATACGAGTAAAAGAAACCGTCCCAATGAAAAAAATAATAGAAATGCAATTAGAGATCATAATGATAATCCGAATGAAAATGATTTTAAATAAAAATTGCATGTGCCTTAAGTAAATTACCTAAAATGAATGAATTCTTTTTTTATAAACGTATCAATTAATCTAATAGACTTTTAACTCTCATGCACTTTGTGTATTTTTATTGTTCGTTGCATTAAAATTAACACAACCGAGTCTTGTTATTATTAGAATCAGTTTTGATATAATAATTTATTAAATATATCCTTACAATGGCGGTTTATTTTATAAATAAGCCATTAACAAGTTTCATAGATGGATCCTAAATAGATGAGAAAAAAACTATAACGACGTACAGATTAAATCAATGCAAAGAAAAAAAAATAGAGTGAATTTTTCAAAGCATTTAACTTCCATAAACACTTTTCTAATAATATATTATATAATGTACGTCATGCACTCATTTAACATGCTGCAACTTGTTCAACGAATGTTAATTTTTTTGCCTTTTTATTTTTTTTTCAACACACATATTCCTGTTTCTTCGAGTTCAAATTATTAGAGTTCGTTTTGAATAGAGTATACGTATGAGTAAATCCATAAATTGTCCACTTGGTAGATCTAATTTTGTCAATCGCACAACAATGTCTCTACTAATTATATCATACATTTGAAAATAATTCTTCTTCAGCCTGTACCCGACAGATTTAAGCATTCTCTTTCTAAGCTAAATTTATCTTAAAGTAGACAATTTTAGGAATTATTTTAATGTTATTATATTATTAATATTATTATTTATATTAGTATTTTTATTATTGTTATTATTATTATTATTATCATTAATTTATTATTATTATTATTAATATTATTATTATTGTTATTGTTATCGTAGGTTAATAAGTAATAATTCGCTTAGTACTCTAATTGTTTTCTTAATATACGCCAAATCGTAGGATATTATTTTTCGATACATGCGTATGTATAACATCAACGATTACTTCAAGTTAAAGGATCTGTTTTTAGTTATCTAATCAATCTTTTTGTCTTTATCCTTGGATCTTATTAATTAGAGTTTTTATAGAAGAAATAATGTAATAGTAAATGTTTATTCATATTGATATGATTATCAATATGAAATTATTTCGTATAATGTTCGTTAACTGTTGGTATTGATTTTTTTTTCTTATGACACTGTAGGCATTTTGTAGTTATTTCTTTTTTTTATTTTATTGTTATTTGTTTTTTATTTTCTTACACATCATTTTCTAATCACATACATACAACAAATAGAGGAATATGTCTTTTTTTCTCTAAAAATTGTCGTGTTATTGATTTTTCTATTTGTTATCTTAGTTTTTATTTTTGTTTGTTTGTTAGATAATCGAAATGAATGAGTGTATGAATCAAATGTATCAACTTAATGAATTTTTGAAGTATGTATGTATATAAGCTAAACGCGTGCGTAATTATTTTGTGTCATTATTGTTGTTATTGTAGTGGTGTTGTTGATAGCACGTGTCATCTCATTCCTTTAATTGAATCATTCTTCTCCTTGTATCTTTAAAAGCTTTGTTAGTACTTTACGTTCTTTTTTTTTCTTTTTAATTATTATTTTGTATATATATATTGTACATAAATAACTCGAAGGATTTGTAAAGTTTAACTCTTAGAAGTAAATGGAATGCACCGTTCAACAGTACATAAAATGTAGTAAGTTTACAACGATTTCAAGATTCATTTTATGTTTTATTTCTTTTTTTTTTCGTTTTTGTTTTTTTTTCATTTTTTTATCTTTATCATATAATATCGTTGCGACGTTGTATATATATATATATATATATTGTGAACTGTAGCAAATTTTTGTTAATTTTTATTTTAATTGATTTCTTCCTCTCCTTGATCCTAATTAATTTGATTTCTTTACTAAGTATCCTCTTGAATAATAACATAAAATAACATCCAATTCTTTTTCGACGCAAATCTTTTTTAACTTATCGTCAAATGAAAGCAAACCAATGAAGAACGTTAAGAAGAATTTTATGGTGTTTCCAATTGTGACAATATTTGTTTTCAATTCTTTTGAAATGATTTTTCGGGAATGCGAATTTCATTTCATTGTAGATAATATTATGATTTATAGGATATTTACTATCTTAAAATGTAAACGTAAAAGAGCAACTTTTAACATTATTAACATCTCTCTTTGGTTTGAAATTAGAGAAACGAGATATACAATTATATATATTCGCTAATAATAATAATAATAATAATTAATTAATTAATTAATACACATAAAGGAAGTGCGACATAAGGGAAGAACGACTTAAGTGCTTATTATAGTTATCATTAATATTATTAATTTTTCCTTTTTTTTTCTTTTATTCTTTTCTTTCTTTTTTTTTTTCTTTTAAGTTACTCTCTTTACTTTTCTTTTAATTTTATTTTTATATTGTGTTTATAAATTCTTTTGAAAAAAGCACGAGCGTTTAGAATCTAGAGAAAGAAAAGCGAAAAGAGTATTTGTGTATCGTGTATTGTAATAGTAATTAGAAGAAGAAGCACATAATTTTATCACGGACTCGAATTGATTAAGTACGCAAAAGTCTGTGATTTTAGTTGTTAAGAAAGAGATTATTCATTGCTGTCGTTATAATCATCATCATCATCATCATCATCATCACCGTAGCATTTATCGCAATAGATCTATTTGTTAGTAGTTTTCATTGTTTTCTTAATCAATAGACGACTACCATTTAGTTGGTCCTGTACCACTGCTTACTCCAGTTGTCGATGCTATGAAAGGATTCGTTGAAGCAGCTAGGAGGGAAAAATTGAGTTAGTTATGAGTTATCATTTTAGATCTAATTTTGTTAACCCTTTGAATGCGAAAAATGACTATAAACAAATGATACGACCGTCTTCAATTATGCTATTTCAAATTGTTACGCAGTCAAAGGGTTAATAGTATGATTCTCAAATATTACAATATAATACATCTACAATTAAAAAACAGGATGTATAATACAAACAAATTAAAGAAAAAGAGGAAAGCTTATTTATGGATAAGATGGTTGTGTCAGGGTTGTGTAAGATATAGTTGCAATCAATATATTCTAATTAAAATTGAATTTTTATGTTTGAAGCTGTATGTCTTTATAAGATTTCTCCTCATATGTATATATACAACAGTTAAGTAATTTAATTATAATTATTAGGAATGATTGATTGAATTTTTTTTTTTTTTATGTATTATTTAAATGGCATAATAAAAATAATACGTATAAGATATGTAATCTTAAGAACGATAAAAATAACTGATCAAGAAGTGAATAATTTAGATGTATAATTCGAAAAAACCTAATTTGCATATTGATGCATTTACTATTATTTCTAAATTATTCTTGATGAGATTTAATTATTTTATCGCTATTAAAAATAAATATATGTAATTATATTAAATAATAAAAACTGTAATAAAGAACAACATTTTTCTATTGATCAATATCTTTGGCAGCGATAGTTTGTGTAATAATGCAATGCTTATATAATCTAAATACAGTAAAAAATATTCTGTTACATATTTATATCAATTTAATAGTTATACATTATTTATAAAAAGTCAAATATTTAGTTGAAGTCCATTAAACATTTCAGACAAAATTAAAATACTTCAAATTATCGCTGACAAAGGATAGGAGAAAGTACACACAGAAAGAAAGAAAAAAAAAATTACAAGTAAAAATGCGCAGTATAGCCAAAAAAAAAGATTAAAAATATATAGCTTCTTTTTGTCTGCTAGTTTTGTTTTGATCTAAATAAATAACTTTTCTTTTTGTTATCTAATTCGCTCTTCTTTCTTTCTAATGGATTAAAAAAATAAAGATAATTAAAATTTATCATACATATTTACATATAATTAAGGAGAGCTTATACATGATAATAACGCATCAGGAAATAATATTTTTTTTTGTCTATACATAAATCAAAAAAAGAAAAAGCCGCAAAGAAAGAGAGGAAAGAAAAAAACAATTAAATGGCCAAGTATTGTACGTACGTATGTACGTCTAAAGTAAGTAGTAATAATAACGCAAACAAAATCTTATATATAAATATAGAGTGATAAATAAATTCAGGCAAACAAATACGCAGACACAATCACCAAACGATTAAAAAGAAATTATAAGCAGCTGTAACGAGGAAATCAATTAATATTATCATTAGATTAACACAAGATGTCTTCAATAATACTTGAATGGCCATATTTTTCGTATGATTATTACATGCGTCGATCAATAATTTTCCATTATTAATATCAATTTAATGTCGTATTTAGTATTTGAAATATTCCACATACACAAATATATAAAAAGAAATTTATTTTATTTTTTTGGTTTCATTTCCAAATTTATATACTCGTAATTTCAAGACAAAGTGACGCATTGTCCTGTATATTTTTTTTCTTTTTTTTTGTTTATAGGACTCCTTGTGTCGGATAGAAAAATAATAATTAAAAGTAAAAGCGCATAGTGTGTTTGGCGATAAAAATGAGATTCTAACTATTACCATTACAAATCGCATAATTTATTTTGTGCAGTACTTGATAAAGTATTTTTAAAAATTTGTGCTATTCACGATTATATTTAATTGCAACTTTAAAAACTTTAATAAAAAATAAGATGAAAGAAAATAAAAGAAGAGTCTCGTTTTTTATTCGCCGGTAATTTAAACCCCATTTTCTATCATTTAATGATACAAGAAAACGAGGATTACAAAGAAAAAGGTGTCAAAATTAAACTTGGATGTCTAAATAAAAGCTATTTCTTAAGTTTTTAAACTTAAGCAGTTGAAATACCAGTAGTATAAATCACACGATCCCCACCGCTGTTCAGGTTCGTACTCTCATTCGCAGGTGCTGAGGATGGAGGTGGTGGCATTGCAAACACCTGTTGAGGATTAGAGGTGGCACCTTGCGATGCAGCACCCTGAGGTTGTACAGTCACTGGTTCTTCATCGCTTTCTTCTTCCTATAGAAAAAAAAAAGAAATATTTAAAAGTTTTCTTAGAAAAAATATCTGATTTGTCGTCGATAAAAAAGTATATAGAGAGAAGTAATTACTATCTGCACTCTATATAATACAAAACTTATATATATATATATATATATATATAATTAGTGTTTAAAAAAAGCATCATTGACTTGTTTGCACTAGAAACATGACCTATACAATAATGCATTTTATAACAGAAGATGATACAAAAGAGACGATATTACTTGCTCCTGTAAATTTAGAGAAATTGTTCTTTTTTTTTTTTATAGGTAATACCTAATCAGATTTCTTAAGTGGAATCAGCAATATTGTATGCTTGTTTTTAATAATAATCGTATTCTTATACAAATTGATAATTAATCACTTCCAGTACGTGTCTTAAAGATAACAGAAAATTTGTAACTTACTATACCACATTTTGCCTAACAGTACTGTAACATCGTGTATAGTTTTTACAAAATATTTTTCTGTGCTTTTTTATTATCAAATTTGTATCCAATAACGAAATATACTTCATATTTTAATCCTGGCATTGAAAATAATTTCTCGAATATGTTAATAATTAAAAATGCAGGTTTACATGCTAAAATATGGTCAATGCAGCTTGTAATTTGAACGTGCAATATATTGCAACAGAAACGATTAATTTAGATCGTTTTAAAGGATCTGTCGAGTACTTATACTTGCCAGTCGATAAGATGTTTAGTCCAGAAAACGAGAATAAATTTAAATTTCTTGTCAAAAATAAAAAGAAAAACAATAATTGCAAGCTCAAAATTGTATATAGATCGCTATAAAGTATCATGGATATTGATTAAAAAAGAAAAGGGCATAAACGTTTGAAAACTATAAAAATAAGCATATTAATAATGAACGTGTGTGATATATGGTGTAACCAATATGTGTTTGACAACGGTGAATTTATATAAGGATTATTTTAATCGTGCATGCATAATGACATTTAATATATGCTGGCTTATGTTTTGGTTTTATAGTTCTAATGCAAAATAAAAAAGGAAGAGAAGCAAAATAAGATTAGAAAAAAGCAATGTCTCACCCAAATGCACAATCACCTTTACAAGTTCGGTATAAAAAGTCAAGAATTTATTGACGTATGATGATATTATTGAAAACATTATTTTAAGAACTTGTCAATGTGATCTCAAATTGAGTGGACGAAGAAAAGTTCATGAATGTTTTTCCAGAGAATAAAACTTACCTTTGCGAACCTTAAGGGTTGACTTGTCACAACATTGACGTCCGGATTCTGGTCCCGCTATAATACAACAACAACATAAACAAAACCGCTAGTCTATAGATGCCTTTCTGCAAAACTAAGCAGAATTTCGCATGCTTGGCAATGAAAAAAATGTTCGCGTGCAATATACAAATAGTAGTAGTGCCGGTTTTGCGAACAACAAGCATAATAATCAAGTATGACATTTTTACTCTTTAAATTAAAATGGTATCTACCTCCATGAAGATGATATATATATATATAAAAAGAAGAATGTATGATCAGAAAATGTGTGCTGAAAGGTATCGAATTAACAAAGCGGGGGCAATTACCAGACGAATCAATATTATTTTAAATCTTATTAATACTAATTACGATCGGATGAAAGAATTACTCTTGCAGAAAATGCACACAAGTATAGAGAAACAATAATTGCTAGATAAATTACAAGACTGAATCACAATGTGCTTTTCTTACCCTATTATTGTTTATAAAAAGTACTTTTTTTTCTGTACAGACTGTTAAACAACGACCTCTTTTTGTTGTAATCAAAGTTCCATATATAAGAATAATAATTTAAACTAAATTAGAGAGATCTTAAATAATATATAAACTTTTTACACTCGTTATGCCATTTAAAATGACACGCCCTGAAAGTGTTATAAGAACTAAACTTTCTTTCTGTATTATCGACACAATATTCCTGAAAATTTTGCTAGCTCCTAATTAGAACTTTTTAAAAGTACTTTCAAACTAGACGATCGGTTTTAGGTGCAACACATATTTCATTATACCTCAGATGAAACAGACAGTTTTTCGTGACTTTAAATTCCTAACTTACATTGCACAATGTATATCTTTATGAAAGTGTTAGTAATCCGTTTAGTGCAAAACATTGATAAGCTTTTGTATACATTGGCAACGTTTTCATAGAACACTTTAAAACTCACATTTGATTCTATAGAAAGCTGTAAAATATCGAAATCTAATTTTATATGTATTTATCGTTATACTTTTTCTAATTTACTATCTCTACAATGGAAGACATATTGTTGACCTAAACATAGACCTGTAGTTTGAATTTGCGTTATTCGTTGTTTAATACGATTATTAATTATTATCAAATATCTTAATAAATAATATTACCTGTAAATTATGGTATATACCACTGTCTTCGGGAGGAGTTTGTTTGCATTTCCCACAACAGCAGTTGCAGCAGCAACAACAACAGGCACAACAATAACAAGCAGTGATTATTCCACAAAATAGGAGTAGTGCCTAGAAAGAATTTCATAAGATAAATCGCATTGTATAAAACGAAATTTAAAGATTACGATGTAAATAAGTTAAGAAAGCAGAAAAAAATCGTACTTTGCACCATCCAGAAGTTACAACAAAGTAAGCATTAACGTTTTCTTCTCCAAACTGTTCGGCAACGTACAAGCCAAGTGATCCATAGTTATCGTATATATTTCGCTTTGTTAAATCCGTTAATATGGTGTGCGCTCTATTTATTTCTTTAAACTAGAAAACAAAAACGTAACAAGTTAATGGATTTTAAAAGTTATATATCAAATGACATTATCAACAAATATAATTAACAATCTTGTTCCTTTCATAGCTAAAGTATAAAAGTTATAAACAAGGGAGAAAACTGTATACATGTACAACATGTATATATAAATATTACATATGATTGAAGCACACGCATGAACTCTTTAATATTATATAAAAAAAAGTTATACCTTTTCTGCCGCTTCAGGATTATTTGGATTTTTATCAGGATGATATTTAAGCGCTAGTTTTCTATAAGTTTTCTTTATTTCTTCAGGTGTCGCTGTCTTTGGTATATCCAATATTTGATAGAGGGAATCCCCCGCAGTGCTATGACATTAATTATTCCATTAATAATATAAAGATATTATATAAATATATATATTTAATTAACTAAATGAATTATCTATCTACATTTACTGCTATGCAAACAAAAATTGCATGCGACTGTAAAGATCAAATATCTGACTTTATCTTTTAAAACCTGATTCATCTTGACAATGATAGGTCACACCTAATACATATATATATATATATATATATATATATATATATATATATATAGGGTGTCTCAGATTTTTCTTTAAAAGATCGTTTTCATGTAAAATTTTTATTTTTATTTTCAATTATAAAATATATAAAAATGTCGAAAATAACTAGAACATCCTATATATATATAAGGAAAAGTTGTATAATATGCATAAGAAGATAACTAAAGATTAGTCATACCTTCTGTAATTCTACTAGATAATACAAATTTTATCTTTATTTTTGATATAGTAAGATATCAAGATTCCCGTTATAGTAAGTAAATAGATTAAAAATAATGAATAATACGTTTAAATATAATACGTTTCTTACAAAAATTTTATAATGATAAAAAAATATGGTATACAAACTATCTCATTAATTATCAGTTTATTTTCAAGGTAATCAAATAAGACAAGAAAAAAAAATTAATTAGATTTTGCTTTTAAATTTCAAAGAATAACAATGTTGTTATTTTATAGATAGAAACAAATGCACAATTCATAGAAATAGAATTTGTATTCTAGAGAATAAGTTTAAAATTTTCTCTCAAGATAGACGCATTCTTTCTCGAAACATTCTCCATAACGTTATATATAACCAAAATTATACTACAAGATTATATAATTTATTACAAGAAAAAGAAAAGAAAAATAAATTAAGAAATAAATCGTATTTACAGTAAAATGAAAAAAAAAGAAAAGAATGCAATTTTACTAATTTATGGCTATATAATGCTAGTAACATTTCTTTTTAAATTTCCTCAGAGTGGAAATATTTGAGTCAATATTTTATACAAATTAAAAAGAAATAATATAGTAATTAAGATCTATTAGATAATTAAAAAAAGCATTAAAAAATAATGAGCAATGAAATGATTTTTTGATAGTAAAATAAGATGTTTTTGTATGGAAACTTGGATAAATCGTTTTCTTATTATGTACATAACCTATGCTTTACTACGAGTTATAACATTTTAATCGATTTCTTTGAAATCGATAAAAGTTACGAATTCGAATGATTCAATGCACATTGGGGCGTATAATGTGTGAGGTAAAGAAATTTCATTCAAAAAACTGAGCAGTCCAAGATCATTAACGTGATATCCATCCTTACATTGGATTATATCCTATAAACTATGTTTTTTTTTCAATGCACAGCGGGTGTATTACTTACGACATTTTTCTCTTATCCATGGTGTTTTGTTAATTTTGTTTAGAAAATACGTCAAAATTGATTGAAATAAATTCGCACGGATAACCGGACACATACGATTAAATCAAACGATGGATCTTTCACTACGCACACATTTTTTCAACGGTTTCTTCTTTACAAGGAAAATACGCGCACTTATCCGTGCTATGGTTTTGGGCAGGCATCGAAAGCAATTCAATATTTTAGTACCAAAAGTGGACACAAAAGCGTTAGCTAAAGGAGCTACCACAACGCATTTACGATCTTACGTATAAGTATTCTACAAGAAAGCGCTATCTATTCTTCGAAATATATTTCATATTTTCTTATCATAAGAAATAACATTTAATAAACAGGTTGGTGGTTATTTTTATCATTTGAAATATCAAGCATCGATAATTATCGATATTTTCGATATTGTTGGTAATTTTATATCACGTCGGTAATTATTAACTCCGTCGGTAACTTTTGATCACGTCGGTAATTTTTTATATTGTCGGTAACTTTTTTCATCATTCAAAAAATTATATATTTTTTCTTTTTATAATAATTTATTATAATTATTTTAGAATTATTTATTTTGCATCATATGATGTTACGTGTAATGCAGATAGTCCATATAAAACAAGATGGTAAGTTTTATAAATTCTTCTTCTTTTATACGTGATCAAACAAAGTTATGAATTAAACGAATTATAGATGATATATTGATCTCAAGCAATAGAGATAATGAACTTTTGATCATTTTTATAGTGTATAAACATTGGATTATGGAGCTAGCTAATATAAAGGGGAGAAGAATTGGAAGAGATGTTGCAAGGATTACGAAGAAACTTTTCCTGTATTTAATGACCTCAAATGGTGGGAGCCTCTAATCTTCGTATTAATTTTCCAATAACTTTTTTATCGATAATCCAAGATAAAATATGAATAACTTTATTGAAATAGTTTTAATCAGCAATTACTGATTAACTCGTTTATTCTATTTAAATTTCTTTATTTGGTATTTACATGTAAAATCTTCTTCAAGATTATTATAAAAGAATTGTTATATATACGATTCAAGTTACAACGTTGATATAACTCCTGCATTCTATAGTTAAATCTGCATAATCCATTCGTAGTTGCATCAGGAAAGTACATCGAAGCGTTAAATTATGCTACCACAGTGTCGCCTTCTTGATGCCTTAGCACATATCTAATTCATGAAAAGATTGATGATCATTCTCTTAAAAGAAGATTTTTTTACTTTTCACTGCACCAAACTGCAACACCGTTCAACCTCTTCAAACTCTTTTCTTCCCTTGTCTCTTCACATCTCCTTTATTCAAATCTGACGAACTTTTCAACAGGTTAAGAAAATATCGATCGTTAAGATATATGTATATTCATCACTTTCATACGTCAATCATTTGGGATATCTTTTTTTGTTAGATGCGATAGAGCGTGCCAAGTCACCCAATGCTTTTACCTTTTTTTTTTCTTTTCATGCTCGTCAATCTTTTACTTCAAATGCTTCTTTCACAACATTCCTATATTGTATATTAACAATAAATAGTATAGCATGCACCGATATGATGTGCACTGATAACTTCAATCATCTTCCATTTGCTCTATATGAATCGTTCATGTTAAAAAGTTGACCTAGTAAAGAAACAATAAATTTTGACAAATGTAATATACATTTAATACAAAATTAACTAATAAATAATTATTTTCATACATTTTAATTTTTTTTAACAAGTTTTATTGATAATTATTTGTATAAGATATATAATGATAAATAAAAATATAAAAGAAAAGAAAAAGGAAAAAAAAAGAAAAAGAAAATAAAGAAAAAAGGAAAGGAAAAGAAAGGAAAAGAAAGGAAAAGAAAGGAAAGGAAAGGAAAGGAGGAAACAAAATACGTTCGGTAATATTTCGAAAATAGCTAGGATTATATCCCCCAAGGGATATCCAAGGGTCTTTCCTCTTCCTCTTTGAGTATGGTTAGAACATGAATCGTACACACTTCATCCTTATCGGTCAATCTAACTTAGCACTTCTCTCGTCTCTTCTAGTTTTCCAACACCCTTAGGACGCTTACATATCATAGAACAAATCACCTTAATGAGTTTCACATTTTCTTCTTTTATTTTTATTCTTTTCTTTTTTCTTTCTATTTTTTTTTATTTGTACTTGTTTGTTTCCTCTACTTTCTCGTTTACGTTAGAATCAAATAATCAAATACACTAATTTATAAACGATCAAAATTAAATTCTTTTACGTAATTTTGTAATTAGTATCTTTCATTGTATCTAAGATTGTATTAATGCTCATTTAATTCATTCATTCATTCATTCAAGAGAGAAAGAGAGAGAGAGAATGCGTTAGTATAATTTACTTGATGCTTGTGTGCATAGAAGGATAATTCGATAAGTACCGTCGAATCGTGTTAATAGCTAGGATCTTGATCGTCATTGAATTTGGCGTCGATCGATCGACGTTTTTCTGCCATCCTATTTATCTTCTATAGGATTTAATCTTTTTACGAATTATTGAAATCGATCGTTTAACGAAAATCAATATTAGATCTTATTTGACAATTACATTTCTTCATTTATTCCTCTGTCTTTTCACATAAGAAGAAGAAGAAGAAAAAGAAAAAGAAGAGAAACATTACAAATCAAAATCGTAAAAGATATTAAAAGAAATTAAATTTGCAAGATTCTATATCTTTAAAATATAATCAAGTTTTATTTCCATACTTTCTTTCATATTTCTCTTTTTTTATTACGTAAGACGATATGTTGTTTTTTTTTTTTACATAAAATTTAATATTCCAACACATTAAATTCTTTTCTTCATTTTCTTTACATAAAAGTATAACAAATTTCGCGTATACGTAAATAGAAAATAAATTTCAATGAATAAGATCGGAAGAAGGAAAGATGGGTGGAGGAAGAAAGGAAAATATATTATAATATGGGGATAGAAAATTATGGGTGAACGTTTAAAAATAAATTGTAAAATAAATATTATAATAATAATATAAACACTAAAAACCTGCCGAAATTTCGTGTATACATTTTCCTATTCCTACTGTGAGTGGTCAAATAATCGTTTAAAAATAATCATATATTCTAATACAGAATAAGATTTTACGTTTTTTTTTTTTTATTTAAAAATTAGTAACATACATTTTGTGCGTTTTTATCATATTTTATTACAAATTACAATACGCGGTAATTTGAACTCGCGTGGTAGATTTAGTGTTAATATATTAGATTAATATATAATATTATAAATATTAATATTAATAATAATTTAATAATAATAATAATAATATAAAAAATTATATTGAAATATATTAATATTAATATTAATATTAATAAAAATAATAATTAATAATAATAATAATAATAATAATAATAATAATAATAATAATAATAAAAATAAATAATACATATAATAAACATTACATAACGAATTATTTTTGTTTATTATATAATATAAGATAAGATTATATACCCGTTTGATATAATGGGGAATTTGAATAACCCTTGGAGAGTATCGACGGAGCACGAAGGGAACACGAGGGAACACCTCGACTTTGGAGGTGTCGTCGTCGAGGGTTGAAGCTAATGCGAGGGTGGAACTTGGTGATGGGGACGCATGCGCAGGCATATTCCATCTATAAGAGGGTAAGCTCGGTTCGTTTCGACTTCAGTCTAGCCCGCGGTACCGGTTACCGCGAATCTCTTTATCTTTTTTCATCATAATCACGTATTCTCGTTATTATCGTTACCGTTATCTTTTCTTCATTTTTTTCTCCATCATAATTACGTCATAGTTATTCTCATCATTCTTATCGTCGTCATCAGCATCGTCATCGTTATCATTCGTCATCATCATTTCACATCATATTTATATCTTTAATCGTACATTCCAATCCCATTAATTTAATCATCTTTCTTTCTTTCTTTTCCTTCTCCTTCTCTCTTTCTGTTTTGTATTGTTTTTTTTTTCGTTATTATTAATCATTATTCTCACAAAGATTATTAATTTATATGTTTCGACACAAATTTTTATTACCTTGATGATTTTTTGGATTTGTAATTAATTTGTCTCTTTTTTTTCTTTTTTTAATTAAAGATAAATAAATAGGTTGATACGTTATTATTATTATTATTATTATTATTATTATTATTATTATTATTATTATTATTATTCATTCATTATTCCTTCCTACTTCTTCCTTCTACTTAAAGAAAATTCCTTTTTTCTTTCTCTTTTTTATTTTTTTGTATTTTAATTCAAATCTTTCTTCGATACGCACCATGAGAAGGAAGCTGCAGAGTTCGTGTTGACGTCATCAGTATCATTCTCATAATCGTATGCAACTTGTTAGTTGAGGTAAACAACGCGAGAAAATTTTCCCCTTTTCTGGGTTCTTTTTCTTTCCTTGTTTTTTTTTTTCTTTTCCATCCTCACCTATTTTTCCTCCCTCACCCCCATTCGTACTAATATATATATATATATTTTATTTTTATTTGAATGCTTAGTGATAAAAAAGGTTCCAGGGAAAGAGACAGATTTATGTATACGATTTTACAACTACGATTCTTTTCTCGATGTTAACGGGGTGAGGGAGGGAGGGAGGGAGGGAGGAAGGATGAAGAGAGAGAAAAACAAAAAAAAAGAAAAGGACAAAACAAAAAAAAAGAGTACAGGGCTCGTCCTTAAACGAACAATTTCCATTTTTCTGTAAAACATTTAAACCGAGTATCATCGATTTTTCGATATCGATTTTTATTACATTCCCAACCAACTCCTTTGTTAATTTTTTTTATATTTATCTAATTTTTTTTTTTTTTTTATATTTTCGTTGTAAGGAACAAAATTGAACGTTATTTTTGACACGAGATAATGATAATGTTTGTTTAAGAATTAGAATTAGATTTTAATTTGATGTTTTCTTTTTACCTTTCCATTAAATATTTCTTCTTCATTTACGTTTTAAATCAACAGATTAATGCATTAATGCCATTGTGAATACGAGAGAGAGTGTTCTAATCAGATGTGTTTAGTTGCATCGTATTTTGGAATTTAAACGGTAAGCTGATGATCATTTATAGTGTCTATATATATATGTGTATGTGTATGTGTATGTAAATATATATTATATATATGTGTTCTTACTTACTTACTTACTTACTTACTTACTTACTTACTTACTTTTTTTCCTATCTTCTTTATATATATATATACGTGTGTGTATGTGTTTTATTGTATACCCTATTCTTACCGATCGTGTTGTAAAAGTACTTCACGGAAGTGCCACAAAGTGTCGAAGTGAATGTTATAGTATCGGTAAAACGAACGAGTTTAGTACCTCGTTGAAACTTTTAACGGAGTGTTAACGAGTATTAAAAGCTTGTAGAAATCGTAAAGTAAACTCGTTTATGTATATATATATATAAATTATTTCTATTCAAATATTTGTATTAATAAGTAATTATTATTAGAATGTTTTTTTCATTTAAAATAATATTTGTTCTTTTTTTGTTATATAACGTTCATTTTATAAATTTAATATTGTTATATTAGTGTATTTTTTATTTTTTTAGGGTAGTGTTCACGTTTCTTTGAAAATACACACGATTAATTATGTTCGTAATTATTGATCTACGTTATGTTGTGCATGTACTGCGTGGCTACGTAAATTTAATTCATTTTATAATATTATATTTATTAATGCTATTATTATTATTATTATTATTATAATTATTATTATTATTTGACATGGTTGATAGACTCACAATCCGATTAATTAGGGAACCTAATAAAGGGTCCAAAGTGATATTCAATCTTTCCATTTGAATTATTGAACGAAAAGTTATCAGCAAGTTGGAAATGGTTTTTGGTTTTCTATTAAAAAAAAAAAAAAAAGGAAAAAAAGAAAGGAAGAGAGGGAGAGGGATAGAAAGAGAAAGATTAGGTAAAGAAAAGAACAAAAATGATTGAAAAAAAATAAAAAAAAAAATAAAACAACGAACGTATTATGGATAGTGCGATGCGTGTGTGTTTGACATGAAAATAAATGAAAAAAAAGAACGAAAGAAAGAATATAAAAAAGTGCGACGAAAGTGGAATATTTTAATTAAGATAATTCGTATGCAGGTATGTGTGTGTCTCTTCCATCCCCCCCCCTCCTGTATAATTTTTATTTTTATTTTAAAATCTACAATATAATATACGAATGGTTATTTAGTATGCTAATAAAGTAGATTACTCGTTGTTTGAATAGAAATAAAGAGAAATAAGAAAACCAAAATAAAAAAAAAGAAATAGATTTAGTTTAGTAAGGATATTGTGTTTGACAGATTAAGAAACTCTATGGGGATTAGCCCCATAAGTCGATATGGAGAGTTAGTGGATACGTTGATTGTCTCGTATTTCTAGAGAGGTTTAGAAGAAGGTTCTGTTAGAAAAAGATAAACAAATAGATGAGATAGAGAAAGTGAATATAAATGGAGAAAAAGAAAAATTATACAAAATGAAATTGGATTTTTTCTTTTTTTCTTTAAAGAATAATTAATCTAATTTCGTATTTTTACAGGCAAACATATATTTCTACATTATTTTTTTAATCTACACTTATTTATGAACATTAAATTGTCATATTTAATTTGTAATTATATTATTACAACAAAATTAAAAATATAATATCAGAGTTCAACTTATTATAATTTAATTACATTTGTTTAATATTCATTTGATCCTAATTTAATAATAATCTAATATTTTAAAAATACTAATTTTATATTTATGATATTTATAGCGGTATTTAAAATTCATATTTTTACCAGAATAACATATATTTCTACATTATTTTTTTAATCTACTTATTTGTGAACACAAAATTTGTAATTATATTATCACAACAAAATTAAAAATATAATATCAGAGTTCAACGTATTATAATTTATATACATTTGTTTAATATTCATTTGATCTAATCTAATTATCTAATATTTTAAGAAATACTAATGATATATTTATGATATTTATGTTATTTTTCCTCCGATCCTATATAAAAATATATGAGCACGAATCGATGAAATAATTGAGATAGGGGTAAAAGATGGGATATGAGGAGGAGGAGGAGAACTATCGAACACGTAACGTTCGATGTCGAAAAGTGGCCTGAATTTGAACGGTTCTCCAGGGAACGATGCCATCGAGGTTAATCGACTTACCAGGTCCAAAGCGTATTTACGAAATTGTTTTTGAACGATCAAAGGTGGTGTCTCCATTCTATCTCATACACATATCATATCATATCGTATCATATCGTATCATATACATACATATATACTATACTATGTATTGTTAATATTATTTTTCAAATCAAATTTTTTCCTATCCTTTTTTCTTTTTCTCTCTCTCTTTCTCTCTCTCTTTCTCTCTCTCTCTCTTTCAATACCTTTCTTTTTTAATTAATGCATTAATTAATTTCTTTTTTTCTTTTTTACATAATTACATTTTAACTTCGTACAATTTCAATACAATTATTCGTTAAAAAAATATGATTAAATTAATTCGTTTTTTTTTTCTGTATTTTAATGCGACAACATTTTTCTAAAATACGTTAGATCTTATTTAATTAATATTTGTTTAATTAAATATATATATATCATCCAATAATCAAGTTGATTAACTTATTACGTTGAATTTAAACATTTGTCATGTTTCTTTTTCTGCGTTATGAGTTAAAAAAAAAAAAAGAATTAAAAATGTTTTGCTTTATTTTTCTATTTTTCTTTTTTCTTTTTCCAGGAAAATATTGCATCTTTCAGAAAGTAATCTCGTTTACAGTTTACAGTAATTTTGTTTAAATCGCGTTTAACTATTACACCCTACTACACTTTAAAGTTCAAAATCATTTAAGATTTTTTTACAAAACGGAAGAAATGACATTTCGGATGACATTTAAAAACCTTCTCGTTTTTTTCTTTTTTTAAATTGGTCGAGTAATTTTTTTTTTTTTCTTTATTTCTTCTTCTTCTTCTTCTTCTTCTTCTTCTTCTCTTCAATCATCGCATCAAAAGGGGTGAGAATTATCGTTATAATTTTTCTTCTTTTATTTATCACAAAAGTCAAACAATTCTGGCCGGAAGGTGAGCTGGGGAGGGAGGGGAGGGTGGAAAGAAAAATTATATTACGTTTCACGTAAAAGGTTTTTATTTCAATCAGATGCCAATTGTCTCAAGGTTACTGTTACTTCTTCTATTCGTATTCGTAAAAAAAAAGGAAAATAATAATTAAAAAAAACATGTGTGCATATCACACAAGTTAGAAGTGAAACCTTCAAATAAACAAGTTTCGAGGGTAATTTATTATATAATATTATTATAATATTATTTGTACTATTAATTTGTAATTATTTATTTAATTATTAATTTTTATTCTAAAAATTCGCGCCTGTTCGCTTGCAACCCTCCTGACACACTTTGAAAATGTTGCTTGCGAGCGCCATCTACTGGGACAGAATTTTTTTAAAGTTAAAACTGTTTATACATATATGTATGACGAGTTGCCTATCTTTCGGGCAGAAAAAAATTTTCGTCCCGATAGATGGCGCTCGCAAGCAGCATTTTCAAAGTGTGTCTGGAGGGTTGCATACGAACAGGTACGCATTTTTATAATAATTACAAAAAAAGTAAATAATAAAACATTTTAAAAAATGTTTGCAAATCAAATATTTTTATAAATAATGATGATTTATAAATAATGATATGCTTGTCTTTTTTTCTCTTCTTACACAGTATTAAGGCCGTTTCTTTCCTCCACTACATCGTTCGTTTCCTTTCCCCACTACATTCTGGTTTCGTTTTCCAACTACATCACCACGTTTCATTTTTTCAAATCACACCCATTCTAAAGAAGTTTTCACTTCTAAAAGAAATAAACTCTATTGCTTTTTTGTAAAGAGTTTTATAAAAAAATATTTATAATATTTGTCGTGTTGAAATTTTGGTCTTCGAGATAATATTTTGTTTTTATAATAAGCGTATACATATTTTCCTATCTATCGTTGGTTTTAAGTGGAAATGTCATTCGGATAAAATATATTATTTTATTATCTCTCTCTTATATACTAATATAAATATATATTTTTCTTTTTTTTTCTTTTTGCTAGTGTTTCTGGCTGAGAATCAGGATTAATCCCTCTCTCTCTCTTTCTTTCTCTTTTACAGCGAGAAGTTTTGCCTGGGCCATTAATTTTCGGAGGACGAACGCGTTCAACCGTAATTTTTCTTTTTATACGTTTTCCCTGAAGCGTTGCTCCAAAAATGAGAGAGACAGAGATACAGTGTGTGTGTGTGTATGTGAAGAAGAAAGAGAGAGAGAGAGAGAGAGAGAGAGAGAGATAAAATGCAGCATTAGGAATGCATGGAAAATACATTCATGTAACATTCGATGAATACTTGCATCATAGTTTGAAATTAAATGACGTGAAAATTATACGACGATGATGGTGCGAAAGCAAAAAAAATAAAATTTCTTGACTAAGCGTTTAACTTTTTATTATCCATTTATTTACAAAAAAAAAAGAAAAAAAAGAAAATTATCTATATAAACGATTATTTGTTTAATCGACGAATAATTGATGAAATTAATATTGTTTAAATATTTAAATGTGAAAAATCTCATTTTCCTATCAGAATATTTTTTCTTCGAATCATTATATTACGTTACATTTATTAAACATCGATATATCGTTCAAATTGATTACTGTTTACATTTCGATTATTAATTAATGTTTTTTTTTTTTAATAGAGTTTCTTTTTTTCTTTTTTTTTTTAAATTATAATCATTTGATATCGTATAATAATTAATCATATCGAATAATTTTATGAACATTTGTATGAACTTCTTTTTATATTTTTTTTTGCTGATCAGAACTAATCTTTTTTTCCTATCTTTGACAATTTATGCTTACATATTTTAAAATATACTATAGATGTATGTATATATGTATGTATATATGTATAAATGTAATGCAAGTATTTTGATTGTAGTCTGATGAATGAGCTATTTAATTTTCTT